GCGAGGCAAGCTCCGTACTTTTGATGGATGCCTTCCATTCCTAATATATTAGAGCGCCTTCAGTTTCGTATGATACTGTGCAATACCTCTGGTGTGAAATAGTTGCTTCAAGCGCCGTGGCACGCTGCGGCGCGGCAGGCGGGCAGCCAGCGCGAAACGCGCATTGGCGCCTACAAACCTAACAGGGATACTTCACGCGTCGCGCAATGCGTGAAGTATCCCTGTTAGGTTTGTAGGCGCCAGTGCGTCGCCGCTCCGCTTTGTGTTAGGCCCTAATATTTAATCTGGCGGAGTCAGCGTTATTCAACTCATGATTTTGAAATGTGTCAAACTTAATGATTTCTAAAGCACATGAATTTCTACACAATTTCTTGTAGCCTTTTATAATCGATGGCGAAAAAGCAACAGCCAGGCGATAGGAACTATAGCCCGGCTGCATAATTTTTTATCGCTTCGTATAGCGCGGCCGTATGATGTTCTCCGCATTCTACAGCCAGCTATACGATTTTCTGTAGCCTTCTTCAGCCGGCTATAAGAATTCCCATGGTATTTTGAAACGCAGCTCTTATCGCCCATTTTTTCCAGGGTCGGGGGATTTCATTTTCTAGATTCGGTGGTAGGGTTTGCCACAGTCAGGGAAAACCGGGAAAAGTCAGGGGATTTCATTTTCTTGATTCGGTGGCAGGGTTTGCCAGTCAGGGGAAATCGGGAAATGTCAGGGAATTTTAAAAAGTCAGGAAAACCTGTAAATGTCAGGGAAAAATCGTCAAGTCACCTTCATTTCCTTTCTCGCAAATTTTGGCTGAAAACTATTTCTAACTACGGTGAAAGTTCGCTAAGTGGCATTGTATAGGGGCCGAAAAAAATTCGACTTAATCGGCATTTCGTCTCAACCGTAGTTCGACTTAGCGAGCTTTTACCGTATGTCTTTCCTAAAATCCGGCGTTTGCTCGATTGTCGTAGAAGTTGACCAAAATTTGTCAGGGAAATGTGAGGGAATTTAATTTTCTAAATTCTGTGGCACCCCTGTTACTATTTCAGGAAAAAAAGTCCCGGATTTTCTTGGAAAAGCACCCCGTACTTTAATTCCCCGAAAGTCCCCGGTTATGGTTTTTCATAACTGGTAGACACCCCGGGTGCCTGGGTATGCATTCATGCGATGAGGTGGGGATCCCGTGGACATCGGCGCGGCTGGAGGTTACGCGCGCGAGGCGCGACGTTAGACGTTAGACGTCAGACGTCACACGGCGAGAAACTACGTTGGATAATGCGATTGCGCTCGCTGGCGTTCCACTTTTTCCCCCTCGTTCGCTCCTCGCGCCGCGCGGCCGAGCCGAGCCGAGTCCACCCGAACGTCCGAACCCAGAGTCGTCATAGCCCGTGCTTTTAATTCTCGCTTATGTAAGTCCGCCGTGTCCGCAGCTTGCTAGAATACCTTTGCTCACAGATTTAGTATGGAATCCGGGCCCTATGCTGCCGTGCTAAGAAAAAACGCCGTATGAACCTCCAAGCGTTGCCAAAAGTCTTCTGATGAATTTCGATTTTATTGGGGAAATCGTAAGTATCCCCCCCCCCTCCATTTTTTCAGACAATTTTTTACGCAAATTAATCTAAAATATCAGCAAATTTCAAGGAAAACTACATAAATTCCGTCCTAAATGCTTGTTTTGTCCGAGGAAATGTGGCAACTCTCGAATGTCCACATGGCGTTCTTCCTTAGAACGTCAGTATGGAAATCCTCGTAGGTTCCCGAAATATGACAGCGACTTGGGAAAATTCAGGGGATCTCCGAAAATACCTTTCTTGGTGATTCTCAAAAAGCGTTGCTTAATCCTTGCCTTTTCTTTACTTTTTCCTTACCTCGCAATCATTCCGAACTCCATTCGGACGGGGAAAGTGAAATGATAGAGACAATGTGTCAAGGCAATCAGGGAAATGTGAGGGAATTTCGTATCCTAAATTCTGTGGTAATACTGAATATCTTGTTTCCGAGCGTTTCTCCTGAGAAAGGTCGTATCTGGGTGACGTCACCAGGACGCGAAGCGCTTGGAAGTGCCTGCCCGGGCGCGTAGGCTCTGCACCACTGACCCATTTCTCATGGGTCCGCTCTCATTGCCGGGCGCCGCGCCGCGCCGGCCGTCGTCGTATTCGAACGAATCGGAAAGTGAAGGATGGGAAAACGCAGCCCGGGGGACGTTGGGGGGNGGGGGGGGGGGGGGGGGGGGTGGAAAGAGAGGTGTCCGGAGTCCGGATCGTGTGCCGGAAACAACGAAGCTGTGACGAAACATCGCGCCGCGGTAATTACGTCCAACTAGACGCGCGTCCGTCGCGCACCCGGGCCTCCCCCTGCCCCTGCCCGCCGAGATCTCCCGCAGAACGCGCTCCTGGTCTACCATCCTCGGTACAAACGCCGTAAGAGCATTCCAACATCGCTGAATTTCCTCTCACAGTACACTTCTTCTCGAAGGAACTCGAGAATATTTCTCCTCGTAATTTTAGATAAAATCACAAACAAAATTATCTGAGACATTGGCAGAAAAATTTTCACAAAAGTTCCTAAAAATTAGTGATTCGCCAGAGGAAACTTGGCAATGCCTGAAGGCTCTTACGACGTTTTTTCTCAGCTCGGCAGCATAGAGGCGACAATTTCAATCCCATCGTCGTTGCCGTGGCGCTTGACTCACAATCAGTGGCTGTGTGCGGAGCGCGGAGAGATCCAAGAGGAACTTCCCTCTCGTACCAACGAGATGAGTCTCACGAATTGTAGCTTCCCGGGGAATTTGGATGATGAAATGCTCGTAACTCGGTATCTGGGAGAGCCCGCGGCAACTTTCTCGGGCTTTCCAGTCGAATCGAGCTCAGGAGAAAGGAACTGACATTGGCTCATCGAATGTTTAATCGTGAAATCTTCACTGATATATTTCCCGAAATTTCTGATGTCAATCGGAAGATGAAAAATTTCTATCACATAGCAATGATCGAACTAGACGCAGTCCACATTTCGGGTGGGAATGAGCTGAAAAAAGTATATTTTTCACTAATATATTTACTTCCCAGATTTTATTGTGCTCTACCCAGTTTTGCCATTGCGCCCAGGAAATCAGTATACGTGTCTCAAGGCTTCTGATGTTACAATTCTGTCGCTTCTGTCGCATTTCATTCTGTCAGAAGACGAATGGTCGTCGTTTTTATCCCGAAGTCCGAGGATCTTTTTCTGAAAATGTTGCACTTTAAAGTCATAATTAGTTTTCCCAAAAGAATATAAAGGGAAAAATTCAAACAAACGACGTTTCACCATAGTGGGTTAAGGAAAACTACATATCATGCTGAAATACCCTAAGCCCGCCGTTTGGCGCGGACAGTCAAAACGCCTTCAAATCTGTGTATATGCAACACGGACATCCAAGGAGCTCGAATAGTTGCATCCAGGAGCTAGAATGAAACGTATAGTGTTGGTTGCATTATACATCAACTAGGAGCGCTCCCCTTGTTTCTGTTACACCGTAACTTAATTCCTAAAGATTAACATGGTGTGTTAAAAAGTGTGTTTAGTTGGCTGTATATCTTGCTTGCAAGAGACCCATTCTCCGTGAGCCCTTAAACTCACGTTGGCGAGGCTACTGGAAACGTGGTCGGGAGGGATGGCGGCTCGGAAGATGGCCTTTTCGGGTCATTCTCGTCTCCCGGAAACTGAGCGACGCGCGACGGGCGGCACGAAAATGAGCAGGAAGTGGCGAGTTGCTCGCGTCATGCACGCGCGCTGCCGCGCTGCGACGCGGCGCTTATAGCTGACCTTACCTTTTCTGAGCTTCTCAGTTTCGCTCACCTTTGCCTTGAGCCGCGCAATCGCCTGGCCATCCGTCCGCCGCTCGGATCCCACCGTCATGTCGAAATGTCCATTTCCCGTCCACCACGATCAACGAGCAGTTTTCCCAAATCCCAGCATCTGTTCCTCGATCTCACCGTCTTCAGCAATTTCTCGGCATCCAGGGATTTCTTCTCATGCTCATGAGAAAAGAGCAATTTATGAAAGATGGCTCTCTTTCACTCAACCTTATTTCAAGTTCGGAGGAGAATATTTCGTTTCAAGTGGTTTTTTCCACGTAAAGAATGCTGGGGTGCAGAGTGATCAGATCATGATCTGGCGAGATGTATCTCGTGGGGGAAGGGTGTACACTGAAAAAAACGATTGGTAGAATTTACCACTCCTTCACGCTGCATGAATTCAAAGCCGATTCTGGTTACCTGTACCTTTACCTTTTTTCTAGCAGAATTGACTCTGAATTAACGCTGTGTGATATACAGCGTGAAGGAATGGTAAATTCTATCAATCTTTATTTTCAGTGTACACTGCGGTGGCAGCCGCGCTGATTTTTTGTTAAAATTAATTCAATCGCACTGATTTTTGTTAAAATTACTTCAATCGCGCTGATTTTTTGTTAAAATTACTTCGACCGACCTTTGTAATAGCGGGAAGGGAAAATTTGCGTTTTGTTGGTGAAAGCGTACACTGATGAACTTTCTGCACCCCCGAAAGAATGAGATGACGTTATTCAAGGTATTCAGTGTTCAAAAAGTAAAATGCAAAACATAACCTCGACTTAATGTCTGCCTAATCGACCAATTTGCATTTCGTCCTCTTTTTTTTTTTTTTTTTTTTTTTTTTTTTTTTTTAAAAGCAGTCGGAGTTCTTGTAGGGTTGAATACTACTTCTTTTGTCAAATTTCGCGAGAAACACGATTTCTCATAAGGGAAGGAGCCCCTGAAAATCGGGGAAAAATAAGGGAATAATCATGGTCAAGAATTCTAGTGAACCATGACGAAGACTTACCCAGCGTACTTTTTTAAAAATTAATTTCAAGATGTTTGAAGTGTCATTTTCTTGGCAGAAACGTTTGATAGTTTATTTTGATTGATTGAAAGTTTTGATCATGTATTTTGATGGGTCGACGACGTGCATCGAAATCTCTAACAATTCCTCTCTTTTCTGTGTGTTGCAGGTGAAGTGGTGGTCGTGACGAGCACTTTCCCGATTCTTCCTCGGAGGAACAATATTTGCAATAGTTTTTAACGGTTTCGAGTTATTTGTTGATTTTTTTTTGTTTTCCCCCTCAGTTTTAGTTTTTCTTTCCTTGTTAATTTTTCGCACTCGGTTTTCCCTTGGTTTTACTTGATTCTCACTTCGCCGCGGATATCCCCGAGTGATAACGGAACGCCCGAAGGTAGACCCACACACAACTAAGACTCACCAAGGAAATTGTGATTGTGCACTCGCTAACTAGTAGTTGAATAAATTTTAAAGGTTTTTAAAAATGGAGCGTGAATCGAATTCGATGCAAGCGCTATGCCGCTCGGGCTGCGGGTACTACGGAAACCCGGCGACGGACGGTTTGTGCTCGCTGTGCTACAAGGAAGTGCTCAAGAAGAAACAGCAGCCGCCCAACCCGGCGCCGACGGCCGCAGCGGTGGCCCAGTCAGTCTCAGTAGGACACTACGTCCCCTCGTCTAGCAACAGTGGAGTTTTCGGACAAAATAGCCATTCTGTTAATATAATTGATACTGCCGTATCCACAATTCCTGTCGTTTGCACCTCCTCATCGCCAGCCCCTAGTGACCATATTAAAGATGTGAGTATCCTCTCTTCGTTTTTATATCATCCTTATTAATGCCTCAGTCCAGGATTCCCACAGTCAGGGAAACCCGGGAAATGTCAGGGGAAGTGACGAAAATGTCAGGGACATATTGTTGAGTCACCTTTTTTTCCGTTTTTCAATGGGTTTCACGTCTCGAAAAACACATTATGCCTGAAAACTTTTTCTTGGTAATGGAGAATTTGCACACAAAAATTGTATCGCTTCATCTGAGAGTTCCCAATGAGCTGAGTTCGCAATATTTTTCATAACTTTTTTCTAACACGGGAAATTGGAGGAAAATAGATTTAAACGTGAGAAAATGTGCTGCTTTATGACGCCGCGCCATCTGGCAGTACTTTCCATTTAAACTCATGCATTTTAGCAGATTAGGTTATTTTGTCATATTTTCTCCTATATTCGTCGGATTTAGAAATCAAGGATATCCTCGTACTCAGTTTTCCCAGTAGTATCATTTTATAGATGAAATTCACGAACTTTAAGACACCTGCAAATTCTCTGTTATGTCTTTTTAACTAGCTGGCACATCTTCAATTGTCAGGGAATTTCACCAAAATATTCGGGGAGAACAGGGAAATGTCGGGGAATTTCGTTTTGTGGATTTGGTGGCAACCCTGCAGTCAGAGAATATCGGAAAATGGCAGGGAAAACGACGACAATTTCAGAGAAAACTCGTCAAGTCACCTTTATTTGCTGTCTAAAGTGGGGGCCACGTTTCGAACAACACATTTTCCCTGAAGCCCTAAAATTATTTCTAATTAACAGCTCTGTCTTTTCATCCAACTGGTGTATCTTCAATTGTCAGGGAATTTCATTCTCCAAATTCTGTGGCAACCCTGTTAGTGGCACTGGTACCCGTTTTTTTTTTTTTAAATTCATTTTTCAAAGTTCAGCGTGAACGGAGCTTCTTGGAATTTTTTTCGGATTTTTTAAACCCTGAATGCCGAAGAAATCCCGTTTTGAAAACGCCAAAACTGGAATCAGTTTGAAGGGGCTCAAGTCTTGGATTTTTGGCGGTTACCGATGACGTATTCTGGCCGGGGCGGGGGCTTACCGATTGGCTGAACTTGGTTTCCGACTACGCCTCGCTACGTCAATTCGATTGTCAGCGTTTGAGTGGGCAGATTTTGATTAGCCTTTTCTCCCCCCTAGCAATCTATTTTGTGTTTCTTTATGAGTTTTTTTTAGTTTTTTCGCAAAATTTTATGCAGGAAAAACTATACTAAAACCGTGTAAAAGTTCCTCGCTACTGCCTCATTCGCCTATTCCCGCAGGATATCAAAAGAAAAAGGATGAAACCTCCCATGAATGAGGGAGGCGGTTGATTTTATTTTACGAAGTAGGAACGTAGGTCTGTTTTAGAGAAAAAAATATGCTCATCTAATGGGACCACTCTAGGAGGTGCGGCTTTAATAATCCCGACTCAGGTTTCCCAACCATAATTTTACTTAGAACACATTTTTTGCAACAAAAATGACTGAAATCGACTCCTAACTAAGATAGCAACGACTTGGTTCACATTGGTTATGGTAATGGTTTGAATTCTTTGCTCGCGAGAAAGACCATGGTCTACTTGAATCAAATCGCGCACTATGACGGTTTTGGCAGGCTTCTTTTTAATCGAGCTATGTTCCATCCTCGCCTCGTGTTGTTCACGGTGTTAACAACGTGCAGCGGTAGAGCCAGAGCACAGAGATTGTGCTTGTCAAATTTTCATTCCGCAGAGATTCCACTGGTAACGTTTAGTCCGCTACATATTTGACTCGCGTAGACTTTTGTTTTTCCATGAGCGGGAGTTTTGAATTTACGCGTCGAAAAAGTTGAATTTTTCAGTTACGAGTCAATGCCAATAATTCACGTCTACGTGTTCCACGTGGAATTCTGACTTGAAAATGTGTACTTTGCACAGGAATGCTTCAATTCGCTCCTTGCTCAATGTTCCATCGACTAATTTAGGCACTGTTTACCTAATTCAGATGAATTTCCAAAACTGACGTGTAACGGAATAGATTAATAATTACCGTCAGTCAGTTCTTTGCGAGTCACTAATTATTCATTACACACAGGCTCTCAATTTGTTGCTGTCATTCGAGGTTAGCACAATTTTCTCTGCTCTCCATAGAAACAACCATTGAAATGAACTCCTCTTACCCTTCGATTCTTTTTGCCAAATTTCACCCGTGTAAATCTTTCCGAGAAGAAAATTACCCTGAAAAAATACCCGTTTCTGCGGCGAGCAAGACTCTTAACCCTGAGACGACCATGCGCTTTACAAACGTGTGACCTTCCACTAAGAACGAGATCCGTTGTTGATCGGGGCGAGCTCCTCTGCCTGCACCATGAGGCCGGTAACCAAATCGGACTTCTCTTGACGTAAGTGCCATGTCCTCTCACTCTTTTGCCTCGAGGAAAACGTGTGGCTCAAAAGTCAAGAAGAAGAAAAGTTATCGGAAGAAAGTCGTAAGTGTCAAGAGGGTCCGCTTCTTCTGTTTTGTGGTTCTGGTTCTGTCAGGTTATGTCTAATAATTCTAAACCATGATAGGATTTTAAAAGTCGCCTTCAGGTTATTTCACTTTTTTGTTGGTTATATTCGTGCAGACGGCATTCTCGAGATTCAATCGTGATGAGGTTGTCTGCCGTTAGTATCAACCGGAAAATATCGGGAAATTTGATGTCGTCAGAAAATCAGGGAAATCGGTCAGGAATCCGGACATTTCGAGTGCGTCAGGCATTTTTTAACTGCCACAGTCGCAGGGTCGCCACAGTCAGGAAAAACCGGGAAATGTCGGGGAATTTTTAAAAGTCAGGGAAAACCGGGAATTGTCAGGGAAAATACCGAAAATCACTAAAATCTCAGGGAAAATTTGTTAAAATCACCTTCATTTACTTTCTAAAGTGGGTTTGAGATTTTGAACAAGAAATTTTGCCTGAAAATTTTCAATTATGCCTTCTCAACCATTCGTCACATTATAGTTGTCAGGGAATTTCACCAAAATGTATCAGGCAAATGCCAGGGAATTTCATTCTCAAAATCCTGTGGCAACCCTGTACATGTAGTTTAGCACATGCTAAAAGGGAGCATTTGATTCACTCATCAAATATGTCAGCTTGTGAAAGCAAGGAAGTGTCAATTTTTTTGCGCTGAAAATCAGAAAATTTCATTTGAAGTATCGGGAGAATCCAAAATAAAATATTATTAGACACCTTGTTAATGCACAGTTGCCATGGGTAGTTTTTGAGTTTTATGCAGGTCGAAGTCGACATGGTTGAAAAAAGGGGTTGCGCAATTTGTAATCTACCTACTGAAAAGAAGAACAAAGCAAAAGAAAGAATCAAGCTTTCGAAACATGGCTTTAATTAAAAATTTTCACTTTACGGAAACCCCTAGTAAATCCCACGAGAGGAGTGATGATTTTTGTAATGCCAATAGAACAAAACTTGTTATATTATAAGCATGAACGTTATGAACATTCATTTCTGACCTAAGTATTCAGTTTAGAATTTTTCGATGTGTCAAATGTGTTGTGCATAAAATTGTGATGATAAGCTTGATTTCTCACCGTGTCTAGAGGTTTATTAAGGATTTGAATTCATTTTCCAAGAAATAACTTTTCAAAGTTGGTTTGTGTCGTTAGGCTAAACGACACGAATTTCAGTTAATGTAGGTTGATTCTTGGTCTTTAAGCGAATGTGTCATGTTATTAGACCGACTCCAATATCCCTTGAACTATCTTTATCGTGGCTCCTTCTTTTGTCCTTACTGACAAGTGTGTCTAAATTTCTGATTTCAGTCCGACAATGAAGGAAGCAGTGCAGTTTCCGCAGAAACGAGTATTAACAACGACGCTCAAGATGGAAAGGACGATAAAGGAGAAGATAAAAATAAAAAGAAGAATAGATGTGGTATTTGTCGCAAGAAAGTGGGGCTAACAGGTAAGCTCGAAGTTCTCACTCTTACTCATGGAATGGTGCAAGTGTGGAAACCACCTAATTCTGCACAGCATTATTTTTCAGGCAATGATTAAACTGAATTTAGGCAAGTTTTCAATGCATGATAATTGTTTACTGACTTAAGCAGAATCAGCTCAATTGCATCTTCAGACGTTTCATTTCCCTTCATGTTTCTTTTTTGCACGTTAAATCAAGCAACTTAATGGGTCAGTTGCGCTGGTTACAGAATCGTGATTTCATGGTTAATTCTTGTAGATTAGCTGAAGTTAATCGGATCTGTCCAAACAGCAACTTTCTATTTTCTATATTAACCGAGGCATTGGGCTTTGAAAAATTTGCTTCAAAACGTCGTCCACTGTGGCTATGCATACCAAGATTTCTTCCACCTTGGATTCATCATCAGGTGATACACATATTTGCACTGGTTACTCAATGTTTAATTCGCATGAAAGCAAGGTGGAAGAAACCAAAGGTGTCACCACTGCGGTGGATGTTGCAAACCAAATTTTTTAAAGCACAATATCTCGGTTAATATTGGACATAGAGAGTTGCTGTTTGGACAGATCTTATTATGTTTAGCTATTCTGCAGGAATCAAGCATCAAAACACGGTTCTGTGACCAGTGCAACTGACCCATTCATCCAAATTTTCAGCAAAGTTGGATTTTTATCAGCTTTTAAGTCATGTGACTGTTCATATCTGAAATTAAATTTTATTTTGTTTGTACAAGAGTACAAAATCAAATAATGATATGAATAACAGGTTATCTGGAATCATACGATTTTATCTTAAAGACAAAGGCAAACTTTTACAAAGTTTCATCCCTGTATTCAATGGAGCAATGGACCTATTTATGCTGTAAGGAATTATGTTGCAAGCAAACCCTTTGCATCTTGATCCTTTAGCATAAATATGTCTCAATTTCAAGTTTGTCAGGGGAAAAACCAGGGTTTCCCATCATGCCACAGGAATCCTCTCTGTAACCTTAATTTTTACTGAAAAGACTTGATGTTTTCCAGTGGATTTGACATTTCAATCAATGAATTTTATCTGTAAACTATTTCAAATTATCTCTTTTTAAACATGTGGCTTATCTTCAACTGTCAGGGAATTTTTTTTTCCTAAATTCTGTGGGAACTCTGTGTGCTGTAGGTCTACTTTCCCTTGAAGGTTCAGAACCAAGCCGTCACAGTGTTTTGAATTTTGATTGTCTATTGGTAAAATGTGTGATGCGGACTTTACTAATGGTGTGTTGTGAAGTAGGTATCAAATTTTTCTGAGGCGCCTGAAAGGATTTTTATGAAATATTTGGTTTTCTCCAAAACCTCCATTCTGTTAGCTTCCATTCCATACAGCAGACTCATTGCCAAATATTGGCCCATGGTACCAAGTCTCCAAGTGGAGAGTACTTGAATTCTCTATTACTATATTATTCATTATATTTCCACATTTATATCATATTTCCACTGAGTCATCTATTGGTTTTTCTGTTGCAGGTTTCGAGTGTAGGTGTGGTGGTCTATATTGTGGTGTACATCGATACTCAGACAAACACGATTGCTCCTTTGATTACCGTGAAATGGGCGCTCAAGAAATTCGACGTAACAATCCAGTCGTCGTGGGAGAGAAAATTCAGAAAATTTAAATTATTTCACTTATTTTACTCTTAATATTACACACACTTATATATAGAGGTATATATACTTTGATTAAATCAACTCGACCGCTACATCTAATAAAATTTGCCTCAAAAACTTTGATTTTGCTCCTCAATTGATGACTTTAGTTGGAAAATTTCATTACCTCTGAATATACCGTTATCATCATCATTATTTGTAACTTTTTCCAGTGACAGTGAAAAATTTGAAGCCTCTCCAGTTTTTTCGGCCTCTTGATTTTTGATTCCCCTGGTTGTTTAGTTTGAAAAAAGACAATAACTTCAAGTAGCTTTCTGCTTTTTGACCGCTTGTCCCTTAGGCGGCTGTTAATTATTAAATGCACCAAAAATTTCTCAACCCAATAGTATGAGGCATTTCTTTGTTTTTCTAGTTTTTTTCCAACAGCAGACTGAACTAAATAAGTGTGAAGTAGTATGCGGTAATCTTACTCAATTCATTCCTAGCGCAAAATGAACACGCGTAATCGTAAGCTTATTGAACGGTAATTAATGATTAAGTTTTACTTTAGTTTTGAGTCTTACGCTACCAGTTAATTTTAGTTTTAAATCTGCGAAATCGTCTGAGTTTGCCGTTCATCGGCTGCAAGCATTAAACTTCGTGTTAGACATAGCCTTCTTGTAAATATTATACAGATTGATTATAATATAATCATTTAAAATTTAGGTTAATGTTTTAACAGTCGTTTTTGTGTACCACTCGACCACGCCCCTCCCCCCCTCTCCCGTTCAAACATCAACATCTTAAGGATATAAAAGCAGCCAAATTGAAATCCGTCCTGTTTGAACTCAATTTTAGTGATTTGTACATACTCCACTTGATCATCCTTTGAAAGCTGTAACCTTCTAACCCGTACTGAGTGCTGCTTTTCTGCGTTTCTTTTAAAAGGGTTGATACAGGTAATTGAATTTTGACGGATTCTAGCTCAGGATTCTATTACTAGAGAGACTGAAACTTCCCATCAGCATTGAAAAAGAGATTTAATAACATGAAGTACTGAATTCTGTGATTTTGTGCTTTTACTCTTCAACATCCAGGCTTGAAACTCGCCTTGTGATGAAGTTTAGAAGCACACATTTTTCCCTTTTAAGGAAGTAGGTATTTTGATTGTTGTTAACTGGTGCGGAACTAAATCCATATCTTCTAGAGCACGGAAGTCCATGAAAAATGAATCTCTCGCTGAATTCGTTTTTGCTTCCTTTCTTCGGTTGCCCTACAAATAATTTAATTGTATTTCAAGGAATGTCTTTACAATTGAAATCTCTCTCTCACTCTTGGAATTATTTTGTTGAAACCTTTGAGAAAGAACAAAGTTTAGTGATGATGATGATAACTGGCCCTCGTAGATATCTCTGAAAGCGGCGTAATGTTGTGCATCGCAGCATAATGTTTTCTAGCGAATGATTTTTGCACAAATTTTGTGGTTTTGACGATGCTAAGGAAACTATTCATGTTTGCTTGAACTGTTTTGTATTTAATGTCAATGTTACTTTTCTTAGTTTTTTTTTCTTTTGATTCGTTTGTTTATTTCGTTCTTTTTTATGGAAAGGAAGACGAAAAAAAAAGTAAATAATATCGTAATGTTAGATTTTGTCAAAATTTTGTAATATAGGCTACTGTTTCAAGGGTTTGATGTGAGTTCAGATAGTAATTATTAAAATTTAGCTTTCGATTATCCCTAGTGAGTAACTGTTTTCATAAACTGCTGCAATAGATTGTTTCTTTTTTTATTTTAATCTATTTTTTATCATTTTTTCTCTCGTCTGTTTTTAACTGGTATAGAACCGCACCTTCGAAAGTAAAATGTATGTGTATTTGTTTCTTTTTTGCCTCTTTTTTTTTTTTCTCTCTGTAACTGTACTGTCGTAACGTTGTATTAAGTGATGTACATTTTATGAGTGGAGACTAAATGTGAGCGCTGCATACAGAGGAACAGTCATTAAGATTTTTCGCAAGGTTTCTTTTTCTTTTTAAACTCAAAAGGCTGGGTGCACTTAAAGGTGTGATACGTTCCATTTTGATAAGAGTATGATTTCAATTTTCCCTTTTTTGTTTTTTTTTTCCAGAACTTTTTTTCTTTTAATGATAATTGGATTAATCAGGTTGCAGTTACTCAGCATGTTCAATTGGACTACATTTTGCCATGAGATACCATTATTTCGGGCTCATTTTAAAAAATCAACCCATTTGCTATTAGTATTCCAATGCAGATATGTATTCCATGGATGAGCCAGGAATACTAGTTCCTTTTTGCAAAATGTAGTCGAATCATTTTTCATGTTAAAGATTAGTTTCAACAGAATTTGTTCATTTCAGTTAACTGTCAATCCTCCTTGCTCTGTTTGGCCAGCATACTTAAATACATTCTCTGCCACCTCTCTGAGCTAAAGTATTTCTCATTTTTTGCGGGGTTTTTCTTTTTATTACACCACCTTGTTTTGTCAAGTCGTTTAATTTGTCATTTCCCTCAGTCACTCGTCTTTCAGTCTTGATGCTTGCATTTTAAGTCTTCCAATTAAAATCTTTCAGCATCAGAAATCTGAATCACTGTCAATGAACCTTCTAGGGTCGATTTGCTGAACAGATAAATTTTGGCTGTCGAAGCCCCTCTTCTCTCAAATGTCAGCTCTTGAGAGTTTGCCTAGCTTTGTTTTAAAAATTAGACCCTTCAATTAGAAGCAGTTCAGATCATAATAATCTTTTTAGGTATCGCTGTCTGGCATCTGCCACCCAGTTCTCGGCCTCTCTTTTGTTCTTGATGTTTTTACAGGGGTTTGTCATGATAGTGATCGCTTTTCTGATAAGTTTTTCCCAAAGGTGAACTGTGGATCGAACTATTATACGTTTCTCAAAACTGAATTTAATTAAATTAAAACAAGACTTGTAAGAGTTTAATGTGATGGGAAGTTCAAGTTCTAATAATCAGGTTATTCTTCTTTATTTGGTTTATGAAAAAAATGATGAAAGCTAAGTAAACATTTTCAAAATGTGATTAACTCAAGTTCGCTCCATGAATTTGGGGCGACAAAAGAACTCCAGTTGTGGGCTGTTCTGCAAAAAAAAGCTCCTTCAAAAAGGCTAGCGCACCTCTGACTTTCTGGAGCACATTACACATTTAGCTCTAACATTTTCTGTGCTGAATATTCCTGAAGACATGAAATAAACCAACACATAAAAAGCATTTCAACTGGAAAGGCCGCTTGTTTTTGTTAAACTTTTGTTCAGACTGTTAACATTTTATCCACCGGTTAAGTTCGTCGATTTCAAGTTGAAAAATCTTCTGTCGTACAATGTCAATATCCAAGCAAGCGTAAGTTCTGTAAACCTGCTCCTCAAAACTGAATTGATCTCCATCAACTGAGGTAAAAATGGTTTGATATTTCTCAAAATGAAGACTGGTAAAGCTATTAGGGATTCAAGAAAGACTCAACTTCTTATTAGGCTCTTGCTGACGATGCAATGTGTTTTTTTTTCATGTTTTCTTCTTGTCAAAAGTTTAAATGATTATTACCATCTTGAAAGAGCCTCTGTAACTTATTAAACAACCAAGTATATATAACTTCGCATGGTGTTAGCGATAATTTCATTATTATTTGACGTAAATGAATTACTGAAGCCTGACTTTGAGATGTCAGATTTATGTGGAGTGATACCTGACAAAGTGGAAAAGTTTCATCAAATTTGATTCGAGAGGGCTTTTTCTCCCATTGTAATTGTGCATTGATAAAGTACTGCTGCTTCTTCAGGACGAAGCTGTAACCTGAGACAGATCATGCAAAAGATTGGCTCTGTTGCGCATCATTAACTTAGCTAGTGACACAAAATTTGGACATCCAAGCCTGATTATTCCTTTTTGATGAATGCAAAGGTTTTTTTAAGTTATCTCAAGACGTTTGTACCTTTTAACATCATTTTATCGTAGTTGCAATTTTTTTGTCTAAGACTCTTGCATTCTTTGTCTCTCGTTTAAAATCTTAGGATGTAAGCCATTCAAAGCTCAATGCTGCTAGGCCGGAGAAAATTTTAAAATTTCAGCCATCTCAGGTGACGGAGGTCACTTCAGTCCAGCCCATTCACTCGAAGTCACGTGTACTGAAGGTAAAGGATGGTTTGACTGACAATCGGATCTTGTGCGACTGAAATTTGTAAATTATCCTTGGAATTTCATACTTAGCAGCAAATAAGATTTATCCTCATTTCCTTTTAATTTTTCTTTGAGTCGTTTTCTTTTTTTATTACCACAAACATTTTCCCCTTATAGCGGCTACAACAATTTTATTACTTTCTTGTGTATATTGTTTATTTAATACTTGAAATCTTATTTATCAAATTGTTTTGAATGTATCATAGACTAAATTTAACGGTAACAAATATATATATATATTTTCTGTGTTAAACACTTTTTTTTTTTTTTCATATCCTCGGTTATTTTTAACTGTCAGAGTCTAAGCGCTTTCTCCCACAAGTTTGTCAAAGTCAGGACATTTTACTCTATATTGGCTCTATATCCGCTAGCAAGAAAATTTTTTGGGAAAACTCAATTTCATAAAGTAGGTATTAATAGCAGCCTTAAGTAAGATGAATCAATTTATTATTTCTGAAAACACTCATTAATGTTCATCATGTAACTATAAGTTGGTAAAATTCAATGAGATTTTTAAGAGCCCTATACTGTAATATGGACCCATATTATGGACAGGAGGCAAAGCGGTAGTGGATTTAATTCCAGGATGGCCAACAGTTCAGGCTTTAGAATCTTTAACATTTCCTGACTTTTCCATGACCCCTCATGAGAAATGAAGATTAAAAGATAAAAAGATAGAATGATTGCCTTGCTGTCCAATCTCAGGAACCACTTTTTAGTTCCCACAAGTCCGTAGGGTCGAGAGGCCTCTGGAGTCAATTTTAATTTCAAAATTTTGATGCCGGTCGAGTTTTCATATTGATGAAAATTGATCCATTTTCTAGACAGAAAAATGCGAATACCCCGTAAACCGTTGGTCTGAGAGTTGAACGGATGTAATTTTCCAGCTCCTCTGTATGTACTCCTGTGATAACTTTGGCATCCCCCTCAAGCCCATTGGGTCGGGAGGCCCTTACGATCAATTTTAGTTTTCAAAATTTTGGTGCTGGTCGATTTTTCATCATGACGAAAATGGATCGATTTTCAGAACAGATCAATATAAATCTCGAAATTTTTTTTTTGTCCAAAATTAAGAAAAATCCACTAGGGTAGGACTAAATTTTTGGGGTCAAAAGCGTATGTTCTCCGATCGGGCTGAAATCAAGCTAATTCCCTTGGAAATGACCCAAGGAATTCTAGAAAAAGGAAGGAATTCTTTCAAGAAATTATCTAGCAATTCTTGAAAAATTACGAAATGAAATCAGATACAACAGTTTTTTAAGTAAAAATAAAAATATTTTGACTTTATTTCTTTTATAAAGATAATACAGTACCAGTTGAGAAGAAAACAAACAGTTGACATGAGAATTTCAGATTTTCCATCCCTCAAAAAATAAAAATTGTGACCTAACAGAACAAATAATAGTTCCTTCAAAAGCATTTAATTTGTGCTGTTCAAAGGCATTTTATAAAAAGGACAGATCGCGTGCACTTATAATAAGAGTATTTAACTGTTACCTCACGTTCTCGAAAGAAGAAATTTAGTGAGAGTTCAGAGTGCAGTTGCCAAACATTTGATAAAGATAGAACTGTCTTTAAAATCTTAATAATCGTTACTTCTCTGTCAGAAGAACATGAAGATGATTACAATTCTCACTCATAGTGATCATATTGAGGTTCACACATGGAAAGCGATGGAATTGGCGAGCGTGAAAACACTGCTGCGAGTAAAAACTGTGTACAGTATAAAAGCAATCAACTGGCACAAGTTTGAAAATATTATTAAATGCATAAATTGTGCAAAAAATCGACAATAAATTCTCCCTCAAACTTGGAAAAACAGAGGAAAATGCATGAGTGATGTTAGTGACTGTACTATTCATTTCGAAAAACTTTGCTATACATTGTCATCTCCAGCATGAACATACATCTTGTTGACGCTGTTTAGTACTGTCTACTTGCCCAACTTGAGACAGCATCCTAACATGAGACATGTCGGGATTTTTTTTTTTTTCATCCGTGGTAGCCCTGTTGAGTGATTTGTAAACAAAAGTGGCGTGCTAACCTCAAAGGGCAACATCTGAAGAAGCCGTGCTGCAGAAGGCGAGTCTTAAACTCGAAAGTAAGTTTTGGAATAAATTTTTTTTTGAAAAGAGTATTTTGAGAGAAGTATTGGTACTCGAAATAGTGTTGGTAGTAATTTAATTGTCCTCAGCCGTATGCAGATTCAAAATGTGTCTGAACCTCACAAATACCTTCCAGTTGATGGGGCTGTATGCAATTTTTTTTTTTTTTTGACCGCTACTCAAAATTTTGTCAAAAAATCAAAAAGTATAATTGTTGGCCGAACATGAGACAAGATGAGACACTTTTCCTTTACAAAGAAGCACCTTTCAATTTACTTGCCTTGCCATAATAGTAACTAACCTTTCAATGTAAGATGATGGTTAGTGACGAGACAGCCTTGTGGGAGCTTTGAGACAAAGATATTGGCTACAGGAGCTCAGTGAGCAGTGCGCTGGCCCGCGGAGGGAAAGGTAAAGGTTCGGTTAGGTTGCACTGATAAGAGTATTTCATGTTTTTTGATCCCTCATTTTGCTTGTTTACTTCTTAGACTTCCAATATGGCACGTTATCAACAAAAGCAGCCTACAAATCACAATCCAAGACAATCTAACGGTAAACGCTCACATCTATCACCAAGGGGCAGGCAAGAAAAAAGGTTGCGTCGATTGGCCGGCAGCCGTAAATATAAGGATTACAGTGATGATATTATGAGAAGTGCTGTAAGGGCAGTTCGGAAAGGCTCATCAGTTCGTGAAGCTTAGTTCTTCAAAGACTTAGGCTATTTTCAATTTGTTCATTCGTTTTAAGTACGATTTCAATTATTTTTGTTTTCAAAAATTTCTCTGTTGCGTGAGTATTAAATGCTCTAAAAGCAATTTTTTTGTAAATTTTTTTCTTCCTCTTTTTTAAAAATGTAAATTTTTGTCTCATGTTACCTACAGACTACTTAACATAAGACACAACAAAGAATCTAACCTAGTGTCTCATGTTAGGGATAAATGGAGGTAACATGAGACACCTACTTTTTTTTAAAAAAAAAAAATTTGGGGGGTCCAAAATTTTTTTGGACATGTCCTTTTTTAAGTTCAACCTATTAGACAACTTTTCACCAACTTTCATAATTATTGGTGCATTACGCTAAAAATGGCAGACTGTTAAGTGTAAAAAGTGTCTCATGTTGGGCAAGTAGACAGTACTTATACTAACACTTTTTTGTTTCATGGGAGAACTGTCATGTGAATTAGTCTGAAAATTTCCTTGTTTACCCTCACAAGGATATATAAAAATCGGTAGAAACTTTAGGATAATTCACACGATGATTCTCCTATAAACAAGTAAAATTTGACTAAGTAATACTTAAACAGGTTATCGCGATACAATTCTTTCGTGCAAGAGACATCAATATACACACAAAGCGAAAAAATTAAAAAGATGTCCTTGAACATTATTTTCTACCAGGAAGGAAAAAATGAACGATTCCAACTGCAAGTCAACATTTTCTATAACAATATTCTCAATACAAAACTAATAATACATAAATAAATAAATATAGATATATATTTTTTTAAATGATTAGTTTTCATTTGATTGAAATTAACTTACAAATAAAAAAGCGTAAAATGTATGATGCGTGATGCTCGAGGGCAAAAAGGAATCATTGAAGCACGAGATTGTTCCGCACAAGAATATTTACATGACTGCTAATCATAAAACGAATTAACGATTACTTCCCATTGAAATATTCATCCAACTCAATGTAATGATATGAAGATAGTAACAATTCAATTAGCTCTGAGGAATGTACGCAAGCACAAGAGGCTTCATGTGTTCAACAGAAAGAAAAAGTCACTTTCTTACTATAGTCATAAATTTGGCAGAAACAGAGGAGGGAATGATTTTTCTTGTTCATCTATAAAAATTTTATGGCACGTTGAAAAAACAAAAAATTGGACAGCTGAGAACCAAACGAGCAAAATTTAAAAAACCCAAGGCCCTACTCAGTTTGTGCTGCGCTAAGGAAAAATGACGTATGAGCCTTCACTCCTTCAGGCATTGCTAAATTTTCTTCGATAAAGTGTGAGTTTTTAGAGGAACTTGGGTATATTTTTCCCCCAATTTTTCAGAGAATTTCATTCGCCATTCAATCTAAAAAATCTGAAACTTAAAAGGAAAAATATTTATACATTTCCTTGGAAATTAATGATTGATAGGGGAAAATTTGGAAGCATTTGGATGTTCATAAGGCGTTTTTCCATAGCACAGCAGTATGGTCCTTATTCGGACTGCATTGTGCAATAAGGAACTACAATTTCTAGCTCTTACGTAAAAATACCTATCTGCATAGGGGAACTGACAGCACATATGTGGTTTCTAAAATGAGCCTGAAATTGTAGTTCCTCATTGCAAACTGCAGTCCATTTCAATTTGGATAATCCTTACTACAATTAAAACTTTCTGATAGGTCGCCATAATCAAATTGATATTTTGTAGCATGGCTTATCAATTTGATAGAATTGTGAATTTTTATCTCTTAGATTTGCTTTACTAGAAAAAGTACCTTAAAACATACATGCTACCTTTCGAACAAGGCAGATTGAGGGTTTCGCAAATCATCTAAAAAATACGGAGATATTATAAGGAGTGACAAAGTTTTCGTATACACTGGCAGCCAGCAACGATATTGCAGGGAAGCGTTTGAGCGGTGTTGCAGGTTTCATTCCTTTGATCAGTTCCAGCTATCTGAGTGAGTTTCAAGCGGATTTGAATTTTGGGAGGCAAAGGCCAAATTTTGTCTCGATACCCTTAATGATCGGCACAGCAACTTGGTAGCCTCCGATGTGGTCTGGGTTTGTTGAGCGCAGTTCCTCGGCGACTCCATGGGCAGGAACATCGTATTCTGAGCCACTTGGACGCCTGAAATTCACAAATGCATGATCAATTACGATGAAATGGAAGAGAAAAAACTCTGTTTTACAAAGAGAGAATGTTATCCCTTAATAGAGTTTTAAAATTGATTCGCTGGGCGGATTATTCCAATTATGAGGAAAATTTAGGGGAGGAGGGCCAGTTAGGGATTTATACTTACAAACATCTGCAGGCTGATAGTTGAAATTGATAGACAAAGAAAATACAAGGAGTATGGAGCGATCCTATTGGTTGAAATGGATGGTTCGTATAGACAAAGGGAGACTATCAAGGGTTGCTGTTAGTAAGTCTACTACTTACCTCCTTTGTCCATTGCAACCACCCACTACTACCAATAGAATCTCTCCATATCCCTTTTGTCCTCTTTGTCTATCAATTTCAATAATCAGCCTGCAGGTTGGTAATTATCTGATTGGAAAGAAACACATCATCTTTTCCATTTGTTTATAGTTCCGTTTAGCAGAAATACATCCAATTGAACTGCATTTGGCAATAAGGAACTAAACTTTCTGCCTCATTTAAATAGGACATATCGACGGTGAAATTACCAAACCACGTATCTCGTTTGCGGTGTTTAAAAATCTACGCTCACATTTTATTTTTTTGAAGTAGACCAAATCCACGGAATTTTCTCCGCACAAAGAGGAAAAATCACAGAAATTTTCAAGACTGGATGTTAAGTAGTTTTTCATTTAAAAAATAAAGTATGACAGGAAGTCTGCGACGTCGCAAACCGAGATACGTGGTTTGGTAGTTTCACCGTTGATATGTACCATTAGTTTCCCTACAGACATATGTTATTTTACAGATGAACCAAAAATTGTAGTTCCTTATTTCAAAATGAAGTCCAATTGAAACCTTTCAACTCAGCAAGTTTTCGGCAGATTGGCACCTGACAAACTCGGAAATTAGACATTTTCAGAAAGTCTTGATTAGTGATGTCATTGAGTGATGCGTATAATGGTCGTCAAATTTTGTTTTTTCTATACGGATTGCTAATTCGTTAGTTTGAGGAATTCTCATCCCAGAAAGTCAATGTTTTGTTAAAAATGATGAATTAAGATCATATAAGAATCAAGCTTTGAACTTAAGATGATGATCATGATTGTAAAAAGAATGCTTCATACTTTACATGTAAATGAAAGAGACAAAAATACTTACGTTCCACCAAAATCAACATAGAATAGCCGCTGAAGGATTTCGTAAGTCCATAATGTAACTCCAAATTGGGGAGAGGATCGACAAACACGAGCTGCATAGGATAGATAATGAAAAATTTGAGTAATAATATTGGGGAAAAAAAAAATAACAACTTGCCTATCATCATGCCCAAACAGACATGTAGGGAAAAAACTGCAGCTAGAGAGACAAAAACTTTTGCAATGCTTTATCAATGTTTGTCATGTATTTCAACTGGTTTAAAGTATTTACTTTTGCTACTTCATCTAAATAAAAGAATAAACAAACGCTTCAAAACAATTTAAATCATTCAAGAGAGACACTGAGATAGATAGCTTCAAGGCTTCTTTGTTTAGGCTACGTTTTCTTGTACATCTCTCTTGCAGCAAAGCCGGTTGCTGGGAGAGCCACAGAAAAAATGCCCAAGGACATGGAATATTTGAAAATGCATGATACAAGCCATTCAAAATGGACCTTCAGGAAAGTATTACAGACTTTTATGATGTGCTCAACTTGATTTTTCAAAACATTTTTGAAATGCACATTTGAAGAATGCTTCCCACCCCTAATTTTCAAACTGATGACATGCTACTTAACTGGATTCAAATCTTACCTCCGGCACCCTTCCAGAATGCTCTTGGACCTTCCTCACGATATATTTTAGCGGCACAATCTAAAAGTCCCGTGTAAGTTGATTGTCCTTGTCGAGCAACAACCTAAGAAGACAAGAAAATACATTTTTGAAAACAAGTTGAAAAGAATGTTGTAAAATTATTGGAATGGAATGTTTGTTCAAGAGTGCGTTATTTCAGGAAAAAAAGATGCCAGTCAAACTGTTTGAACTAATCCTTAATTGAAAGCAGAAAAATGAAACTTTTCTTTTATGGCTAAAAAGAGACCACGGCATCTTCTATTCCTTTTTTTTTTTTTTAAGTTTTTTTTTTTTTATTTTTTTATTTTTTTTAAATGTAACATTGAAAATAAGCACAAATGTCATTTGGATCGAAAAATTCCCAACTCCTAGGTTTAAATTCAATGACACTATACTGTATCATGAAAGAATTGAAAAGTTTCATATATTTTACTCAAAGGTTCTTTAAACTGAATTACGAGCGCTAAAAAACATTTCTCATTCACTGAAAATTTTCAGCTGTATTCTGTTTTTAGTTTCTGGGATTAGACTTTCTTTGAAACAAGCTATTTGATTCTTTCCAAGCCTTAGCACATCAAAATTTATACTGCCATTTCTTCGAAATTTAACTTTCTAAAAAATCTTCAACAAATGATTTATAAAACGCCTCAACTTTGTCAATTTTGATCAGAGGCGGACCTAGCATGTTGGCAACACTGTATTTCCACCATTTTAACCTGTATTGAATAATCGATTCTTGTCGGAGCACCTAGCCCCTCTGAGAATCAATACATTCCCATCGGTTTAAATGAAAAGAAAACAATATTGCCAACTCCCTGGATCTGCCAATGATTTTGGGCTCTTGTTCAAGATCTTGATTTCCAAAATTTTGGCATGATGTCCCTTTGTCTAGAATTACAATACCTTTATCCTAGAGAGGAGTTACACCCATGCAAAAACGTAATGATAAAAGAAACATCTGAGAGTCAATTCTCTTCTATAGGCCTACCTGGAGTCTAGTTTTAATGACATCTGCAGGAGTGACTAAAGCAGCAGCTGGAACACCAGCCACACAGCCTGCTAATAATAACGACAAAGGCGTGTTGTACCCGGTATCATCAGCGAGGAATTTTTTCATATGATTGTAAGCAGGGAAATAGATAGCACTGAATGGTATATCTCGCAGCCAGCACGCTTTGGCACCCTGCAAACAAAAAATGGAAGATGTTACCTATGTGGTGTATTTTGCGCCTTAGAGACAAATGTTCCGTATCGAACTGACCATGGTGATAATTTTACACTCGTCCAAGGGGTCAGGAAATAGTCATAGTAACAGGATCATTCCCAGCTTTTTTATTCCCAGGGTTAGTCTGGGGAGAAGGGACTCTTAAGGTTTCTACAGAAATTAGAAAATGAAATTCCCTGATTTCCCAGACACATTTTAATAAGATTTCCTGACATTGGAAGAAATGCCAGATGGTTAAATTGACATAATTTGAAATAATTTTCAGGCAAATTTGTTGTTCAAAACGACAAACTCATTCTGGAAAGCAAATGAAAGTGACTGGACAATGTTTCCCTAACATTTTTCCCTTGACATTGAACAGAGAAGTGCTGAAGGTTAAAATAGAAAACAATCACAAACTAATGAGTTTTTGAGATTTAAAAACCATACGATCACAGATAATTCTCACTTTATAAAGTCCAAAAAATCCTAGTTCTCTAACAACCGTCAGTGCTTTGAGTTTCTGGCCCCCGGCAATTTCACCAGCGACTTGAAGTCTAATTTTAACTATCTCCAGAGGATTCGTAAATGCCACTTGACTGAAGCCGGCCTGAAAAAGAAAAAAACATAAATGATCAGTTTTAGTGATTTTAAAATTTCAAACAGTGAGAAATTTTGGTAAAAATATCATTAAAAAATGAAGATTTGATTGATACTGAGACTTTATAACCTACAGTAACTTCTTTAAATAAAATCGAGATAATGGTAACTTGATTTCAACTGAGAGATTAGCGAATCATCAGCATGTCACTCAGCAAAATTTTCCATTTGACAAGTTTTCATTTTCAGTTTTTAAAAAAAACAATCGAGTAATGCGCAAACACTTTTTTGTCGATTTTATTTGAATAAGAAATTTTAGACTGCCTTCAATACAGTATCAACAATTTCCGGGGTTCCTTATAACTTCCTTGAAAGTCACTAATTTTGGAAAATGGTTAAACAAAGCAAAAGTAAAAATGCAACTCTAATAAGTGAAGTTCAAGCAGCAAAAGGAAAAGCAGGACATGAAGTAAATAAAGTTACTTACACAGCTTCCTGCTAAAATTTCTACTGGAAGAGATACTTTGCCATCGACAGAAAGTTTATCCTTGACAAGGTCGTTCACTGTTAATTTTGTTGCTTTTTCTGGAGCAACACCCATAATTTGTGGTAGGAGACCTCGGTAGAGACCGAACACTCCTTCATGTCGAATCACCTGGAATAGAAAACGGAAGCTGTAATATTAAAGCTTTTCTCCTCCTACAAGAAAAAGTTGAACAAACGATGTTCTTAAATAACAGTTTCAAATCATGGAGTGGATCTCCGATTAATGTAAAATTAACAGGTGTGAGTGAGTGAAATCAATCTGCGACACCAGGTAGTAAAGACTCTTAAAACCCGATACAATCTATTCAGCATGCTAGTTACATACTGGTAACTCAACTCTTACATTCAAAAGTAAAAAGAGTTTAAGAAGTGATACACCACAAAAGTCATGATATTGGTCTGCAAGAAAAGGAATCAGAGATTTGATGTTCAATACTTACGTTGTGTTTTAGCACAAAGCAGTTAATCAAAAGATAAAACTCTATTGGACCTTTTGGATTATACATTGACAAGCCTTAAATCAAAGTTACAGAATACATCGATTGGACTGCTTGTTGCAATTAGGAACTACAATATTTCGCTTCGTATAAATACATACAACAAATACACCATTAGTTTCTCCATGTCCATAAAAGTTTTTGTGCATGAGCCAGATATTGTAAATCCTAATTGCAAAGTGTGGTCCCATTGGATGGATTTAAACAGAATCAGCCTAACTGTATTTCACGTTGCCGAATTTCTTCTTAAATTTTACTTTCTTAAACGAAGAACTGAACGACATACGGCCTTGAAACTTCCCACAGATTTAGACTTATGGACTATACAGGATATACTTTCAAAATTTCAAGTCAGAATTTTGATTTGTTTTCTGTTTAAGAGGTAAGACATGAGTAGAAATCTGATTCGAGTTGAAACTGTCCAATTAAGATGTTAATCCAACCAGTGCACAGAAACTGGAAAGCATGAAAAAAGATAGCTCTCATTTCTTGATGAGAGCGAAAGTTTAATTTTTGGCATCTACTATTGAGATTTGATTACTTTGATTAAGATTACTTTCGTTGAAATTTGGTTCCTTTGGAGTTTTCATCGATACCTAACCATGCTGTCTTCATGATTTTTTTATTCCTTAAAAAAAAAATCGATGAGTATAGAAAGCAGCTATTATCAATCGCTCTTGTCTATAATTGTTATCAGTTCCTTCCATCTGTAACTTTAAAAAATTAAAAGAGCCCTTCCAGGAGTAGAGAATGAGGAAGTACTCCGTCAAAAAACTTGGGTATTTACCTTTTTGAAGCAATCCCAACTGCTTCTGTACATTAATTCACCTATGAAGGAGCCAGTTCTTTGATTCTGCATTCTAGTTTTAACTAAATCAATAGGGTAGACAGCAGTAGCACCAATGGCTGTTGAAAAAAAAAAAAATTAAGGGTGAATTACAACTAATTACTGTATGTGTGTTAATTGTGATATGGCCTACATTTTGCAATTCAGAACGATAATTTCTGGCTCATCTGTAAAAACACTCATGTGCATAGGGAAACTAAGAGTACTTATGTTGTTCCTTGATTGAGCCAGAATTTGTAGTTCCTAATTGCAAAATGCAGTCCATATGTAATAGCTACAACAGTGATAACCAGGATATAGAAACATAATTGAGTATTTTTCTGGTATGAATGTACGTGTCCGTGGTCCTAAATTGGTCATAGCAGGCGGACTCATAATAAAAAAAATTAAAAAATAAATATTTTCATTGAGTTCCGATCAAAAGAAGTATAGGGAGGGGAAGGATTAACTTATTAATTTTCTACCCACCAAATATGTAACCATAGAAACTTCAGTTACTCATGGTAGAGTTTTTGTTTATTTAATTAACCGCAAAATAAAAAATCCTGAGGTGATTCTCCCTCATGCAAGTAATTCCAGTTATGAAAGTATGTCTTCCATTAAAATATTTCACTCTCTTGTGGCCGATTAAATAAATGAGAGCATATTGTGACAAGATAAACAAGCTCCACATGTCTACGTGGCCTGTTGGCAAGTGAGGGCCGTAAAGCTCAATTTTTTTGTTTTGTTGTTGTGAATAAAAAAATGAGGATGAAAATTATAGCCAAAATGAATAAGTATTGTTTCATTTTATAATGACTAACCAAGAAAAAATTGATTTATGCATTTATTAGGTGCTAATAGCATTGACTGATGCTTTCGAACTGTTGAATTTTTCACTATTGAATGGATGAGGTAAGCGACATTTATTAAAAATAAATTACATACTAAAGATCTTGATTTAAAATTTTTTTTAAAATTTCAATTCTGCAATAGCTTAGACTTTTCATGAGCCAAGAGACATGCTGTAATTTTTAAACTTTGACTATATTTTACTTGAAGTAACAAAAACATGACCTATTCATCCCACTGAAGGCTTTGATAATTCTATATTCGTTAGAGGAACGACCATTTTCGATGACTCGCACCAAAAAATCTCTAGTGTAAAAAGGTCTGATACAAGTGCACAACATCTGATAATTTTAATCCCTGATTATAGTCAGAATAACATAATATGTAATGGGATCTGTGAAAAAGGACTTAATCTTCCTTAAAGAAATTTTGCCTTAACTTTTTGTAAATGCATGGAGGAGGCGAGTCTGGAAATTTTGGCGCAAGTTTGACCCTGAATGCTCGAAAATTGAATGGGATGCGAGGACTGAAGTTCCAAGTTGAAAATTCTTTGGTCATAGAAAAACGTGGTTAAAATTTTTGAAAAAAGTTAAGTGAAATTTCCTCTCGGAGGACAAGGTGCTGTTTCATGGATATGCTCACATGACACTTTATAAGAACCAGTTTGAATCTTTCATCAGAGTCAGATTCTTAATATTCTAAACCAGTCATAGTTCTAAAATCATTTTATCGTTTTGTGAAAATCTGCAAGGAATTCAACAAAGAATCTCATTTTACTTGAACCTTTTCCAGAGAATTCACTGACTGAGCTGATAAAAATGTCATGCTCTTGTTTTTTTTTGCACTGACATTGATCATACATCAAACAGAGCTCAAGAACATTCATCACCTTCAGCGTCGCTTGGCCGGTGGCCTAGTCCCATGTGCTGGGGAGTTCCCGTACCTTGCAATATCGCTGCATGAGCAATTACATTGCACTACAGGTAACATTGCTCATAAATCCAACTGACTGCTGAATTGCATAAACCGTTAAAGGACCAAGCTTAACACAGATGAACCAGATCGTATCAAGATCAAACCAAAGGAGAGATGTTCCAAGTTTTAATCCTCTATAGGACTCTATTAGGGATGGAGTTCAACGTCTATTTCCACATTCAAAATATTTGTCCTATTCTTCAAATTTTTGTCAGGAAAAATGTATGATCAGTTAGGCTCAAAACTACCACTAACTTATTTTTTTTCCAAAACATGACTAAGTTATTTTCTACTACTAGGATAATTACTTTTCAACAGCTACTTGAAAATTACAAAAAACTGAAGTACATTCACTCAAGTTTTTTCATATAAATCTCGATGATATTCGTTCACCTCTTCCGTTTTTTTCTTACAGCGATCATTACAGAACAATGGCTCCTTGGTGCAGCACACTGTTATATCATTCGTGGCAAGAGAATAGATCCAAAAGAAATGTTTATAGTAGCCGGTATTCTTGACTACCAAGATAAGAGTTGTAAATGGAGGCAAGTTAGACAAGCGTTGGAGATCCACCTCCATCCGAAATTCAAGGTATTTTAAACAATTATTTTGAGTAAGAAGTCGTTAGGTAAGGAATTCTCGATATGTTCTGCTTTTGTGATGATACACTTTTGTTAGACACAGAATCAATTCTGCAATAATTTAATGTCATCAGATAGAATTATATTAAATTGAATTAAAAACTGAATGAATTTTTTTAGAATAAAATTCAGTTTTATTACAAATAAAAGTTTGTTTCAGTTCCAGGAGATCTTTTAAATAGTAAATTTCTGAGAAAGATAAATTAATAACTGTATGGCAAGATTTGATCATGATTTAGCCTCATAACATTCAGTTTTTGTTACAAAATTCTTCTTTTGTTTTTTTGCTTATATTTCACCTGGAAAAGACCATTATGATGAAAAAGCTTTTAATGACTGCAAAAAAATCTAACAAATTGAGCGATTGGGCAGCAAAAAGTATGAATTGAGGTTCAGTCCTCCGCTATGGTACAGCGTTACATGATGAAGAAATTGCTACAACCTCTAAAATACATTGTTCCCTAAGGATGAAAGATGAATTTTTTATAGAATATAAAGCATTCAAGAACGTCAATTTACGATGATAATGCATAGTATTTCACCACAAAACTTTCTGAGAAAAAGTATTGTTTATTTTTCATAAGGAGAAACAAATTTCAAAGAACGACATTGGATTAGTCAAAGTTGAGCCTTTTGAATTCAACCTAGCAGTGCAAAGTATACCCTTGAGTGGCAAACCATTCCCCATCGATGAGGAGGTGAGGTGCACAGCTGCAGGCTGGGGTGACACTGATCGGATGTCTTTCAATTCCGTGTTAAGAAAATTGGACGTAATTGCAGCTCAGAGCCCGAAAGCTTGCCCAGGACTCCAGATAAACCAGCGGAGAAGGGTCATATGTCTTGTTCAAGACGAGGGCAAAGGTCTTTGCGATGGAGACTCAGGCGGCCCTTTAGTATGTGATGGTAAAATTCCTACGTCCTCTTACTTCATTATTTAATTGAGGAACTTTCCGGTAAAAGAGCACATACCGAAAAAACGCGTTGTGAGAAAAACGCATTTGAAGTTTTCATTCTTACTTCCTGGCCACTGATGATGACATACATCGGAACTGGGGCATTCATATCAACGTTAATACATCCTAAAATGAATAACGACCATTGGTAAAACTTACACTTCTTTCAGTGTTGTGAGAGGATTTTTTTAAAATTTTCCGTTATGTGCCCTTTTTGCGGAAATGGACCGGTAGTCATAGGTTTTGGCTTTTGAAGCTGAATTTTCGAGACTTCAATGAGTTTCTAAACAAAAATAAATAATTCCGATTAATTAATAAATAATAATTTAGATCGCGAACGCACGGGTGGATCATCTTCGATCATTATGAATGAAAAAAACAGCGAAACACGCGAAAAAATCGAAAAATTTAAACTCACAACAGACCATTAAAAATTGAATGGTTAATAATTACACAAATTCACGTGTGACCGGTGCAACGCAGAGACAATCCCTGCAACCCGATGCTATTGCATTGATTAGCAGAATCAGTACGATGCATGATGCATCTGTAGTGAGGGATCCTTATCAGTACCCATCACTTGCCCGTCTGCCTGCGTGCTATCTCCTCAACGTCGCGGTGACCGCACCCAGGGGCAAATAGGCGAAATACGCCTCTGACCCCTGACTTAGTCTCACAAAACTTGGTCTTTCAGCTCCAAAAATTGATTAATTAAGCTGAAACTCGGGACATTGGTACATTAGGATGCGAGGAATCCATTTTGCCATTTCCAGAAAAAGGGCACATACGCGTATGTGCCCGTTTTCCAGAATGCTCCTCAATTCTTCCTTGCAATTGGACTAAATTCAGCAAGAAGGCACTGCAATATCTAGCTCTATTGAGAAACAATGCAATTAGCCTTCATTTCCCTATGCACTTTAAGTTTTTGCTGATGAGCCAGAAATTGTAGTTCTGAATTGCAACCTGTGGTCCAACTATGACTGTCAAAAGGCAGAAGTGGAATAGGGGCAAATATTTATTTATTTAATTTTCAACGGGCGAACCCAATTACAAGTCATTCATGAAAGTCATTTTTATTAAGATGAGTTAATTAGTCAGAATTGAGAATTTCCTTTAAAAATGTTCCCTTGTATCTTAAAGAATAAGTTGCCAATGCTTTAACTCAATTCAGCTCAAATTAAGAGCATATAATTTCATATTAAACTGACAATTTTGAGCCCTGAACATTACAAAAAAACCTTGAATACCTTTTCTTTGTAGGACTGCTATTTTTTACATATAAGTTCAGACCATTATAAATCTGTTGTGGTTATTGTTTGGGCATTTTTTGTGACACAACTTTTGTAGCCAGTGCTTAAAGCAGTGGTGCCAAAATCGGAATTTTGAGTTTTTCTGGTGCTTCAAATCCTTTCCCCCGCTGGTGGTCATAAATGTACGGAAATAATTTTTTTTCTGCTTTTCATTGCACAAATATAACTTATTTGCTAAAAATATAATTCCTTCATAACTAAACATTTTGAAATCTTATTAGAAACATCACTTTTCACTCTGTAAACACGAAGTTCAACAACACGCAACATCGTACTACCCTGTATTTTTTTTCAGGCGAAATGGTTGGCGTTGCTCATCAGGTTTATTTAGAGACATACAAGAACTTCTTTGCTCCGCCACCAGATAGTATGGATTGTGGGGCACGTGAAATCGTCCATACATACATGTTCACCTGCCCTTTTCTTGACTGGATTAAAAGTTACGTCCCTGAGGTGCCACCTCAGCCACCACATTGTTTTTATCGACGCAACTCCTATCATTCAACACCTGACTACCGCAGAATAAACAGCTTCTTACTACCTTTCCTGAATCAGTCGAGTGTGAATCACTGATGGATTTATTAGCCTTGATTTGTTGGCAAGTTAAAACCGCAACCATTTCACATTTGATTTTGTAAATAGCATGTCTCGATGTATTGTTCAAATTTAAAATTAAGTTAGAGAAAATCAGTTGAGTTGCAAGAAGCATAGGTCTTATCTGAAGTTTGCATCTGCAAGTTTTTGTGATTGTATCAGAGACCATGGCTTGCTATCTTTTGTAAAATAAATGCTTGATGACATATCAATGGAATCAACAAATTTAACCTAAAGAAATAGGAAGAAAAGTAAATTACCTCCAGCTACGGAGCCAAGAGAAAACCGGTATAAACTTTCTAACATTTGTATCCCAACACTACGATCCGCAGGACTCTGAAAAAAGGACATCTTCTTTAGAAATAGTGGAGGAAAAGTAAACAGTTGATTAGTGTTAGCAAGCTTGCAAGGTTGATATTACACTAGCTTTAGCTTTTTTATCCACTTGAAGCGGTGAAAATAAAAAGTAACGCAGCATCAAATTTCCTTGAGGTAAAAGGATGACAACATCAAATAACACTACAAATGATACTACAAAAATAAAAAATCATCTTTGGAATGTTGGAGACCGAGTTGGACAGACACACACAGAGTCGTATCAAGTTTGAATAAGGAGAAGGAGGTTTAAGTTTTATTCCTCCATGAAACATAATGTAGAGGACCAAGTTTAACAACATTTTCATGCTCAAAATATTTATTCTCAACTTTGAAATTGTGACAGGAGAAAATCTACATTTATCCTGAATTTCTGACCTAAACTTCTTGATTTCAAAACTACTCGCAACCCATTTTTTCCTAGATGCGACTTGATGTGTTTGTGTGAAATAATGTCCATATCGCTACAAATTTGTCTCATATTTTGCATGAGAATTGAATCAGTAAAGAGAAAAATTGATGAGTTGGAAACTTACATCAACAGCATGAATTTCTGTGTATCTCTTATCATGAATGTGTTTGAAGTACTGTTCAGGTGCAATGGCTTGTAAGTCACTAAAAACAATTCGCCTGAAATAAAAAATGAACTAGCGTTAGTTGGATCTTTTGAATTGTTAATTCATGGAAAAAAATCAGGAAATTTCAAGTTTCTCTTCATTTTTCGAACGGCAACATTTACTTTCGCATTTTTTTCTTATTTTTTTTTCTATTCACTCTCGCTGTAAACCTGTGCCAATGAGAGAAAAATAGAGCTAATTAGATTTGGAGATGTGATAAATGAACGAAAAAAGCACCAATTTAAAACACTATCAGCTGAATGATCAACAAAGGAGCTGATGATAATTAAGTTTAATGACCACTTTAAGCCCAGTGAAAATCAAAATAGACATAAACAATTGACTCTAGCGTCGAAAATACAAACATATATACATATCGACGGTGTAAGTCGGCAATCACATGACTCGGTTTGCGACATCGCAGACTTCCTGTCATACTTTATTTTTTAAACGGAAAACTACTCAACAGCAATTCTTTAAAACTGTGGTGATTTTTCTTCCCTGTGCGAAGAAAATTCTGCAAAAACGTCAAGGAATGATGTCGATTTGTTCCCCTTTAAAAAAATAACATAGAGGCGGAGATTTTCAGACACCGCAAATGAGTTATGTGATTGCAGACTTTCACCGTCAATATGTGTATTAGCAAGTCATATTAACAGTAATCAAGATAACTTTACACAGTTAAACATAGTTGATACTTGAGAGTAAATTAATTTAACTTCCGTTTTTCAGAGTATTAAATACCTAATTTTTCAATTAATGACCAATTCATTTTTAGCTCAGGCTGGTGCTGAATGGCCTGAGTGATAGATAAGGTATCTATCGATCATGGTAGCTGCAGGTACATCTATTTTATCTTATGGTGTTTGATCGTGCGGTGGGAATGGAATGCATTCCAAACATTCATCCACTTACTCAAAAGAGAAGTCGATCCATCCACTATTAATAACAGGGTGCTTCTCCCATCCACTAAAAAATAATTATTACTGCCTTTCATAGAAAAACTAAGTACTTTCAGGTGACCAATATCTAAACTACTTAACGTAATAGCCATTAAATGGCTGCTAAAGTAGACTTCTCTGTCTTTCAGAATGACATATTAATGGCTGAAGTGTGAAACCAAGTGTCTCCATTGAAGAATTTCAAAATGTTTACAAAGAGAAAGTAGTTGACATTATAGCTTGTTTATACAGAATACTCTTCTAACAGAGAAGAAAAATCAAGGATGTTTTCAAGAAAATACATTGACCAATTTTCCAATGAAAAAAAAAGTATGAAGGGAAGTCTACAACGTTGCAGACAGAGATATGTGGTTTCGCACTTCGACCATTGATAAATGCCGAACTACTTCTTTTAAAACTCTCGTTAACCACTTCAACTAACACATTTCAACACAAACTATTCCAGATCATTTATATTTCTTCCATACTTTTTCAGTCCTGGATTTATTTTTGTACTTGTTCGGAACTTCCAGACTTCATGAACCTGTCAACACCTTTCAGGTCAGGAAAAATCCGAGCAACAGGATGGCAAAGACTCCATCAAAAAATGCAACGATCATCAGCTACGATAAGCTCAGATATTTACATACTGATTAGACACGCATTAGACAAAAATCAAGATAGGAGAAGGATGGGAACGCCAAAATAAATAGACATGCAATGAACCTGATAAAAAAGTCATGTGAAGTCTAGCTCTCGAAAAGGAAGGATTTAAAAAACTTTTGAACAAAACTAAAAATCATCGGTACACATATAATTCTATTAGTTAACACTAAGACACCGGATGCACAGACACGACAAGGAAAAAAAAGGAGTTCTAAACAGACCCAAACCGAAAATGGTGATCGTCGCTGAATCTGATGAGTGAAGTATCATCCGGTAAAGAAGCAGCACAACAAAAGCCAATATAAGATGAGACAAGGTAATTGAGGAAAACGTGAAGAGAGCTGTTCTGATTAAAGGATAATTTTACGAGTTCAGTGGTGGCCCTTGAACCTCGTAAGCCCCTGAACCCATACACAATAGATTTAATATTTTTCAATCATAATTTTCTTTTCGTTGCCTGTTTCTTTATCTAAATTGGTGGATTCTAGATTTTACAGACTTATTGAGTTTAAGCTGATACGGACAAATTCAAAATTAGGATAATCATTAGAATATTATATGGATGTATTTCTGTCAAATGGAACTGAGCGCCAATTTGAGTTCCTTTTGAGGAATTTAGAATCCCGGATAGCGCGTTCTGTCAAACGGAACAAAGCGCCATGGAAAAGCATTGCGGGTATAGGAGTGAATGAGCCCGACGTCAATCCAAGCCTCCCTCTACCTTCCTACCCCGATGGCGCTTACTTCCGTTTGACAGAAATATGTCCATATTATTGAGCTAATATACCCCAGGCGCATGAGTACCAAACCTGAATGGTAAATTTTTTTGTATTTTATTATCACAAGATGAGAAAATATATTTTTAAAAATTGGGGCAAAATTCAGGGGAAAATTACGCTGCTCGTTCTTGCTAATTTCTTCTTAGTCTTAAGTGGCAAATACGATACCATATTAGAATAATCCGATCTCCGATGTGCTTTTACATAATTTGCACACTACAAGGAAAATCAAAATTATTGCACTTACACACGTTTTTGTTCATTTTTTACCTGCCTCGGACAAACTTAACGAATAATCACTTGAGAACAAAACTGAAGGATTATTGTTCTTATTGGCCAAAGACTTTTCTAATGTCTCTAGCAATATTTACATGCCTGATAAAAATGCAGAAACCATACAAATAGTGTTTTTTGCTACGAGTTAAACAACTGTTTTGAGAATTTTAAGACAAGATTGTCCTATTTGGAACAGAATTTGCAAAAGTCCCCACATTCTCCATCCCGTATGCAAGGAAAATTTTTGCCACAAAACTTTGCAAGGGTATCTATCTTGCTTATTTTGAAGTAATTAATGGTTTTCATGTGCGTTTTCTACACCAGTCTCATCCCTAAACATCAAAATTGCTTGAGATCAGTTACTGAGCTGTTTTCTGATCCAGCAGCAATGTAAGAATACAAAAAAAAAAAAATGTTGATGCAGTACATAGTGAAGAACTCTTCCAGACTTTTTAAGTAAAATTTTGACTTAGAGGAGAAGTTTATTGAAGCCACAGCCACTATTTGATACAATTAATCAAATTAGCTAGTCACCTAGAGTACAGAAAAAAAGAAATGCATACCTACCCTCGTTGACCAATTAGGTGACACAGGGAAAATAGGATATCCACCTCTAGGGGTGTGATTTGAGACATCATTTGTGCTGAGTATAGAAATTCCTCTGAAAAAAACCAAAATTCATTTAAAGAGATCAGATATTTAAATGAGTGTGCTTAAATTACGATTGCAAAGACTTCTGTTACAGAATTTACAAGGAAGCACTTCAATTTTAGGCAGGTAATGGAGTCAGCAATTTATAGCAGGGGTATAAAAACACCAAGGTATCAAACAAATTCTGCTAAAAATACTGGTATTGTTTTGAATGTTTCTTAAAAAAATAGATTGATTATCAGATTTGAACTCAATCCTTTGGAAAAATCTATTTTGTAAACCCTAAAATAAAGCTGAGAGTATGCAATCGGGAAAATGGACCATTCCATTCGACAATTCGAATAAAAAATGTCGCATAAGCATACTTCCAACTTCTTTTCAGGGTCTACGAAAGAGAATCTTTCAATTTTTTCCTTTTTCACATCGGCTTTGCACAGACCTTGCAATCAAACAAAATGTACAAAGAAAAGGGATCAAAATCTTTGAAAAATTGGGTTTTAAAAGGTTTCAAAAATTGCAAGAATAACTTGAAGCTGATTTTTAGAAAAACAGGAAGAATAAGCTTAATGGCCTCACTACAAATCAAAGGCTAAAGTAAAAACTGCATATCTTAGGTGGCAACGTTAGAAGTATCAGATCATGCTTTATTGTTTCAAAAGAAAACAAAGCAACGATTCCTATTGAAGTTTGTTATCCTTTAACTTTCCTCACTCATTCTGAAAAAATCACACAGAATTGCAAGGAAACATTTTAATTAATTCTCTTTGAAAGCAGACTGAGAGATTTGGAAGCGTTACAATGGAGATGCGCATTTTTTGCATTTAGCTATTGGTCGGCTTAGACATTTTTTAATTCTTCGAAGAACTCACTCGAAAAAAAGGGGATCGGGTGTCTTCCCACTTACCTTTCGTGACTTCTTGTTCTCTATTTTCTTGAGTAGCGTTTAAATAGATTCTTTTGACTAATTCCATGTTATTTAAAAGAGATGTAAAAGCCATGAAGTAGGGGAAGCTCACTTTGTGCCCTCCTTGTCCGGCACTCTGAAAAAAAAGAAAAAAATTTACTCAATTATACTATGATGAAAAGATACCAAAATAACTTAGTTCCTTCTTCTGATAAAAACACAAAAATCTTGCAACAAGAAGAGGACGTCAAGAAATTGCTGAGCAGCAATATTAATATCAATAAAATACGTAAGCTGATAATGATAAAATTAATTTTCAAAGGTAATGCTTTGTCTATTTTATTTTATTTTTCCACCATCATATAAATAAACAGGACAAAATGCACATTTTACAGTAAAATTAAACACTCTTTTCGAGAGGCAAATCAGAAATTTAGCTGATAGGCCAAGACGCTGGAGCATGAGAAACGGTCAATTTTTGAAACTTTTAGCATCTCTGCTAAGTATCACTCATGTTCAAATCAGTAATGTCAGATTTTACAGAATATGATACAACTGTTTTAAGAGAGGGTAACTAACAGCCAAAGGTTGAGTTTTCTCTGAGGTCATTGATTGCCTTTCTAACAAAATTACTTCGAGAAAGCTGTGGCAATCAACTCGTTAGATGTGTGCAACAGTTACTCGTTATAACAACATTAGCTTTATGAATCCATCTCAATGAGAGGACAGATGCAATTAAATTTTCTTCATGAGGACTTGTGAGAAAATTCTGGCAGGAACTTTGCACTTAATTTCGGAGATTTAGGGGCAGTTTAAATGAGCGCTATGGAGGTTTATAGAATTTGAATTTTCAAAATTGTAAAGAGACGTAAAACGAAGAAGTCTGAATGTCACTTGAAGGCAACATCACTAGATAATACAAAAACGAATCATGTGATTTTTCATTGTACAAACATGTGTTTCTTTTTACGTGTGATTTTTTTTGTGACTTTTTTTACTGCTTTACATACCCTACAGGAGTAATCCTATGCTTTATCAGTTAAAAGGCAACCGTTATTTGAGACCATCAAACTGGCCAGGAATCAAACCAGGGACTTCTTGATCATGAAATCAGCGCTGCGACACTACGGGAGGCTCACAAAATGAGAGACAATTGAGGAGGAAGAGCATGAAATTTATCAGGATATACTTACAGCCACTAAATTATCTTTAACTTCATTTGTGAGCAGATGACTTTTGACTAAGAGCATAATATTTTGAAAATCTAAAGCAGTGATGAACCCTGAGCCTGATTTATCAAACTGGCGGAATGCTTCTATACCACATTCTTCGTGAAAATCCTGAATAAACATTAAAAATACACATTAAAACAAATTTTCAAAGCAAGAAAAAGTATTGACCCATTATGAAAGATTCCTTTCTCAACTGTCCTCCTACATTCTTTCTTTTTTTCAGAGAGATCAAAATAAAACTTTCAGCAAATTATCCATCAATTTTTGACTTTTCAAAATAGCGAAAAAATGAGCTTCGATGCAAAGACTGAAATAAATCTTTAAGGTGGCGACAATCTCTGGAGAAATTTTCTGATATTCCAGTTATAGAATATGTGGGAGAGCAAAAATAGGATATGAGAGTCTATGATATCCAATTTATTTTTACTTTCATCGTGTCTCGTTTTACTTTTAAACGTGTTGAAACTGTTCCCCTTATCTTTCTCTTGTAGATGCTAAAAATTGTTAGTTCAGTCAATGAATGGAAATGAAGCAATGATACTCCTTTCCACAAGACGCAGGCACCTATAAAATAACTAATTTGCTTTCCACTCTTAAGCCTGGGGCTGTGCACAGTATATAATCATGCTGATAAAAATACGAGAAGACAACTAACACAGTGATGGACACAAAAAGCTTCTTTTTAAGTAGCCTTGGTTTTTAGCATAGAGATAGGAGAAACGTTTTGATCGCACTGTAAATTTCAGGTTTTTGAGTTACTTTTTTTTAAATCATGTGTAGAAAATGTTGGGCATCCTAAAATATGTTTTTGACGGAAGTTTCAAAATTGATGTACCTCATAATGCACTGAGTTCTGGCAGTAAGATTAAAACTTTCAATGCCACATTAACATTTGCTACACCCACCCTGTTAACGAGGTTAGGAAAGCAAATGGAACCTTGCAAGCACTTCAAGTCTCCTTTTAATACAATGACATCTTTGTGTGACATCCACAAAACTCGTCTGCTTCTATCATTCTACTAACATAGAGGCGTCATAAATTGTGCGGAAATATGGAAAGAAATAAGAAGGCAAAATTCACAGTAAATTATTTCAATTCAAACATAAACTTTAAATTAAGAGGTGCACTTACATGAAGAAACTGGCTAAACTCTGAATAATTCACAACCCTGTTCTTATCTTTACCAAAATATAATTTTAAAAAATCACTATCTGGATTTAAAGGCATTTTGTGATGAAGTTCTGTTTTTTTCATTACTTCCCAAAATTCCTCTGTAAAAAAAAAGAAGACAATACATGTAACCAATAGAAGGAAAAAATTCAGAAGAAATAACACAGAAAAATGAGGCAAAAACCTTGATACTTCCATTTTCTAAAGTACTGGGACAATGATATTTACGAAAGGAGGTTTGGGTTAATTTAAAATTAATATCAGTTTCAGAGATTAACATCACAGAAAAAGAGAAATTAAGATTCTAACCAGCGGGCTGATAATTGAAATTTAGTGTTTGTCGGGCGGACATAGATGCCATGGGTTAAATGGCGAGGCGTGATTGGTCGGCTATGTCTTATCGCTGCTTTGTTGTGCCTTTGTCAGGTGGAATGGACGACATACTGTCGGAAACTTAAGAGGTATCGATAGCTTGTACATGACAAAGCAGCGATAAGACATAGCCTACCAATCACACTCCGCCTTTCAACCTGTGTCATCTATGTCCGCCTGACAAACACTAAATTTCAATAATCGGCCTGCAGTGGCATGTCGTGCTTTGTGATGAATCAGTTGATCTCCTATTTAAACCTATGAAAAAGGATGAATTATCAAAGCATTCGAAATGAATGCTTTAATAATCTCTGTTGTTTCAAATGGGAAAATATAGATGACTGATGATTCTCGCTGCACCACTGCAACCAATAGTATCCCAGGCATTTTTTAGACTAGAAACATTTTGCTGAAAAAAGTACTCGAGAAAAGCTGTTATGCTTTAAAGAAAAAAGGTAGAGCAATAAAGCACAAGCATGACGTAGCTAAAAAGAAAATAAAAATTGCTCATCAAAAAGACAAGGGGTATTTTGACATAGATAATGTGTTTCTTGCCTTGTTGCAAAATTTAATCCAGATATTTTCCTTGTGATATTAAATCAATTATTATTAAATCAATGACAGTGGGTCAGTTGCGCTGGTCACAAAACGGGTTTTGATAAACTAAAAATAATAAGATCTATCCAAACAACAACTTTACACGTTCAATATTAGTCAAGATGTTGCGCTTTGAAAAATTCATTTTATGACATCATCCACCATGGTAGTGACATCCTTGATTTCTTCCACCTTGTTTTCATTGGAGGTTCACCTTCAGTAACCAGTGCAAATGTGTGTCTCACTGATCGATGAAAGCAAGGTTGAAGAAATTGAGAAAAATTGTCACTATTACCAATTTTTTGAGGAGGAGATTCTAATCAAATGACCTGATTTTTTATTTGCAACTCGACATTGCATAAAGAGTTACCAAAAAAATTGGCAAACAAAGGAATTGTGAACAGGGAACTAAAAACGAAGGGCCAGTTGGCCAAATTTTGAAATAAGAATGGCGAACTTACTGAAACCGATCATCCCGTTACCATTGAGGTCGAACAGCTGAAACGCTGTTTCGTACAAGGCATCTGGGACGCAGAGCAAACCTTCGAAAGCTTGGAACTCGGAAAATGATATGAGTCTGAAAGAATGAATATTAATGAATATTTTTACTATGAATGAATATTCAAATTAGTTATCAGTGCCTAAATTTTAAAAATAAATTAAAGAGAGAAGGTACAGTTAGAAGAAGGGGATAATTCTTTTTATTAATTGTACCAGTATTTCTTACTTAAATTTTATTTGTTTATAGGAGAACTGTTACATGAATTTTCCTGAAATTTCAAGTGATTTTTCTTCCTTTATCTGAGAAAACACTTTGAAATTTTGTTGACTAATTTATGCGACGATTCTCCCATGAAAAAATAAAATGTTTACAAAAAACTGAAACAGCCCAGACGAGATACGTTCCTTTGTGCGGAGACAACGATTTTAGGCACATATGGAGCATGCTGCATGGCACTTGGAAAAGTCAAAATGCTACCTTAATTCTTAGACAATTCAAAATGTCTCTAACATGACTCTATTCACTTATTTCAAGGGATGACTGCGCTCTTTTCTCCACAAGATAAGCGCCTTATTTACAGTAAAGGGACCAAGAGCTTTTGAGAGCTCATTTTTGTGTTTAAAACAAATCTAGTAGAGGATAGACTTCAAATGAGGAAAAAACAGCAAAATCAAACTAACGCTCACCCATCTTTGCTGGTATCGACGATTCCAGCCAAAAGTTTGACAGATTCAGGATTTGCATTGGCTTCCGGTGGCAGTACACCCAGGAATGTTTGGATAAAGTCACCATCAGTCATATACAACTCTCCATCTTTTTCAACAGTTGCATACTAAAGGAACAAAATCATGATAACAGGTAAATTAAACATCAGGGACAACGAGCTATTTATAAAACACTTATTTTACAAGCGCCTGAAAAACAGACCTTTCGTCTGCCTTACCAATACCATGGAAAAATACCTTATCTGCAATTGCATGTAACAAATATGAGTATTTAATTTCATAATTCCTTAGAATATTAGCTCAGGACCGCAAAAAAAGGAAAACAGAATTACTTTATTACAAAATTGTGAGATTATTCCACATTCAATTTGTTGAACAAACGAGAACTAAGCAACAATTCTCAATAAACTACCTAAAAAATATCTTCTTCTTGAGACAATTTTTGACTATAAGTTTTAGACATCAGTACCTAATGTTGGCTCATTAATTTAAAAAATAAACTGTTGAGGGAATGTATCGAAAATTAAATGCAGATACTTCCGAGTTGATGCTTGGTAACATTTGATTATACTATTTTTCTATCGTTCATTTCTCTATTTTATTTGAATAGAGTCTTCCAATGTACTTCCTATGTCATAGTCTTGTAAATTTTTTGTTTGTTTTTCATTCTTAGACTTACTTGATACTCATAATCAATTGAAATTCAAAAAGTATCGAGATTTCTATACTTTGGAAATATTCGGGGAAGTATTCTATACTAGAGCACAAGATTACAACAAAGAAATTTCATTAGATTATTACATAAGTTTGGCACATTACTTATGACTTTCCCTACTTGGTTAACAAACGAGCAATCTATTAGAGTAATGTCAAAAATTCATTTCTTACACAACGAATAAGTTCTAGTACGATGCATTGTCTTAAAGACATTAGAATGAAGATTTTGAATTCTGAGGTAACTATTAGACTGAGAAGATTTATGCAAGGTCAAAAGACAAACAAGCAATCTGACTGGCAAAAAAAATTGAATCCACTTTTACTGTAGCCGTTGAAAACACAGAAATTTCAACTTGAGAGATCTACAGTGAAGAAACTATGAGATTTTGAACTGCGCTATGATGGCACACTAAGTGTTTCAGGCAGTCACACTTTTTTGTTTTAAAAATGAAAGATGTGATGGATGAGTAAGTTACATTATATTTTTGGAATTTAAAGAAATTTTTTTTGGAGGATTTGGAGATTTTATGAGGCCTTGATGTCCGTAGGTAGTTCTGACATCTCTTGCCTCCTTAGAAAAATTGAATAGTGCAAATATCTGCATAAACTGTCTTTATCTTCAGTTCTAACCAAAATAGTCTTATGATTTCTATTTGTACTGCAAGGCAAGAAACTATACATGGATTTTACTGTATCAATTTGAATTTACTGTCTTTTTTAAGAATTTCATGGGTGAACTCAAATTTTTCTCCCTGTCTTGTAAGTCTGAGTTGGGAATTTGTGGTTCACTTTGAAGGTAGATCGCATTTTTATTTGGTTAATAGGACGTCTTCGCAAATTTTTTTTTTCAATGTCCAGAGCTTTGTTATTTCTTAAAACAGCGAGCATTTATGTTAACAATCAGAAAGCGACAAATTCAAGCACTTCACGAATATCTTTTAAAAACGTAAGCTATTTTCAAGCATCTTCCAAAAAATCAAGCGCTTTTCAGGGCTTGAATTTTTTTTTTCAAAAATCAAGCACTTCTCAAAGCCGAAAGACCATGTGCAGGGTGTCTAGCAAATTTTAAAATAAAATTCCCTGATATTTTCCTGATTTCCCTGACTAAAACTACCAAAAAACCGGGGAAAAACTTAAATTTCCCTGGCAGACAAAAAAAAATCTCTGACATTTCCCGGTTTCCTAGGTCGCTAGACACCTTGACTGGGACACAGGTACTTACAGTGAATGCGAGTTGACTGCCATTAGAAAGAACTCGTTACTAAAGCAGAGGTCAATTTCTCGAACTCGGGCTTCTCTTCTTGCGTCTCCTTCAAGCTTAGGTACATATAAAGTAAAGCAGCGAACACATACCTTGTTGAAAATCTGTTGTAACTGCTCAGTTGTGGCTCTTTTTGGATAAACAATCGCTCCATGGAACTGAAACACAAAGTAATCATTTCAAAATTAGATTTGCCAGAAAATAGGTGGCTTTAAAGGCCAAATGAAAAAAAGGAACCTTTGAACGAAGAAAGGGCCATACCGAGGAGTATTCTGCCGTGCTAAGGAAGAACACAGTATCAACATTCGAGAGTTGCCAAATTTCCTTGAATGAAATGTTTATTTTTGAGAAAAATTATGAATATTTGTCATTGCAATTTTCAGACGCTTTAGATCAAATTAAAAACAAAATTATCTGGAAAATTGGCAAAAAAATATTCAAAAAAAATTTCTGAAAATTAGTATCTTGGCAGAGGAAAGTCGGCAACGCCTGCGATGGCTTATACGGCGTTTTTCCTTAGCACGACAGTATTCCCAAGACGCGTCATGTTTTCTTAGATAATAGATTCCCTGGTTTTCACCTACTTAAATTTTAAAGTTATTGCCCAAAAATGTCCGAACTTTTTAAAAATGTTGGGCGTAAAATGCTTTCCACAAGACACATTTAGCGCAAAGTTTATTATTCATCGACAGAGCACATCAGGGCCGGATTAAGGGGATAGCCACATGGGCCGCGGCTCATGGCGGCAAATTTAAGGGGCGGCAAATTTTGCGATTTTTTTAAGTGAAGGTATAAAGCAAATCGGATTCAGAAAAAAATACAAACGAGAAAAGGCGACAAAATCTCTCATCTCCTGAGAGTACAGTAATTTCGCATTGCGTCAAACACAGTGCGTTCAGCACCGCTCGACGTGAAACGCAAAGCGCCAACAAGACTGTAGGAATACTTCACGCATTGCGTCAAAAACAGTGCTGTCAGTAGCGGTCGACGTGAAACGCATAGCGCCTACAAGACTGCATGAATACTTCACGCATTGCGCAAAACACAGTGCGGTCAGCGCGGCGCGACGGCGGAAGTTAAAATTATTAAACCACATTTATGTTTGTTCTTTCATAATGTTTTCGTTCATTTCTTATAAATGGAGGGCCTTGTCCACACAGAGATAGGTTTACGTAACTTAACATTCGCGCAAAGTTCCGTGAAATTTTGCTGGTAGTGTTGACATAGGGCTTTCGCAAAAAATGTGTCCAACACGAATAAACGCGTCTTGTGCACCCCTACCCCTCCGGCACGTTCACTGGATGGATTTTATTGATGTTTCAAAAGTAATGAGAGGAGGGCGGCAAAATACAGGCGGCCCAGGTGAATCCACCCCTGGAGCACATGGGTGCAACTGATGCCGTTCAAAAGTTTTGATACGGCAGAAAAAAATCGACATATATCTGAAAATTTCAGTACTTTTCAGGGAATTATCACAGTTTATTAAAATTTACTCAAGTTCGATTTCCTAGGTTACATTCCCTTTATTAATAACTTGTCATCCTGTCAGAGCTCATGATGGAGGCCTTACGAAGGTAGCAACAAGAGGTGAGGCAATCTTTACCCTCATTCGTGAGTAATGTCCGCCTCAAAGAGAAAAAATTAGTCGAGCAATCTCTTTTTTGTCATTTCTTTTCGTTTTCTTTATCCCCCTTTGTATGAAAAAACGTAGATAAAAAACCCGCGAGAAACCTTTCAGGAGTCGTTCATAAAGAGCGTAACGCTGAAAATCGGATTTTCCCCCTATCCACGTAACGCACCAGAGCACCAGGACCTGCGCCCTCTCCAAACCCTCAGATTAGCGTTGCGAGACAAACTTTTCATGAACAATTGCCTTCTTGCATCGATGTATCATCTTTAATTTTCGACGCTCGCTTAGCGTTACACAACGGCGCCGACTCCCCCACCCCCCGCAGCGCAGGCTGAGACCTCCTCCCCAAGCGTTACGTATTTTACGAACAACCCTCTACTCTAAAAAATCGTACCCAGAAACGATGGACCTCCTCTCCTCTCTCCCTTTCTATTTTCTCATCACCGTTTCGCTGGAGCAATAGCGGCAGGAAATGCAAATAATTGCGGGAAGACGAAAACACAGACCGTAAGGTGGGGGAAGGGTATACTTAACAGATATGACCTTGACGTGGAGCGTGGATCCCCTGCCCGCGAAACATTCCACGAACACGAAATGATATCATTTGTTGTTATCAAAGGTTAACGACTAAAAAGCGAAAACAGTTCCATTATCCGATAAACGCTTTCGTCAACGTCGAACGCGGATCTAGGATAATGTCGGACATTTCTATCCTAAGGGGATGACTAACTGAAAATGTACTGGTGAGGGGGGTGATCCCCTGACCGCTACGCGGCCCGACCCCCTGCGCCTTCAGAAGGGCTCTCCGCGGCGGTGAAAAAGCTCGATGATTGTGCCTAATTTGAACGTACCTCTGCCAAACGGATTCGTATGCATTAAGACATGAGCCCTGACTCCATAATAATTTATGCTTAACAAGGCTCACGTCATAATGCACATAGTTCCGTTTGGCAGAAATGGAGAATTTGCATGTGTCTGAAATTTGATGAATTTCGTGTTTAAGTGGAAAATACTGAGTGAACTGGACACGAGGATACCCTCGGTCCATGAACTGAACAATTATCGGCGAAGATATGACAAAATGATCTAACCTGGTAAATACATGTGTTTAAAAGGGAAATGCCGCCAGATGACGTCACTAGGCGGTTCATTTTTTCTAATTTAAATTTATTTTCATGCTGTTTCCCATATTAGAAAAAAAATTATAAAAAATACTGCAGAATCAGCTCTTTCAGCACTTTCAGATGAAGCAATAAAAGATATGCATGCAAATTCGCCATTCGTCCATTTGAGAATTTGATTGATTGATCGTGCCTAGAGTCACCATTTTTTGGGTTGGATGTTGAACCAACTCCGCTATAGCCCCATCGCGTGATATCTAACAAATTTCGCAAAATAAAATAAAAATCGCATTTGCGAATTTGAGTACAGTATGAGCTCATCTACAGATCACCTGCTTGCTGCCGACCGAAGAATCTTGGAAATGACTGATCGTATCTCTGAAAAGTACTCTGAAGACAAGAAGTGTTCATAAAACACATATTGACCTCCGCCTTACTGCGGGAACAGTACGGCGAAATAGATACAAATCAACGTGCTCCTGGGTCAAGAAATTGCCTATTCCTAAAAATTGAAGGCGTCTTGGAAAACGCGGTTACTGCGTGTACGGTGTAAGCTCTTTTTCTATTAAGTATTGATTCTCAAGCAAAGCAGAATGACTCCACTAAACAGCGGACTGGCTGGGAGCATGTTGATTTTTTATCAATTTCGCCGAGATGTTTCACATGTTGAATGGAGGTCAAAGTGCGTTTTATGATGAATGTTTTATGCTTTTGTTGGAATTCAGAAGAATAAACAATTTTGAAAAAGTTTTGTTTTTCCTTTTTTCTTAGAATGCTTATATTCCGACAGGTACTACCGTGCAATAAAAACCCGAACAAATCATTCAAATTGGTACGATGATCCGGATGAAATATTGTTATTTTAAAGCTTGTGAATTGTTCGTTTTCTACCTCCACAATTACAATAATAAATTTAAAAAAAAAAAAAAAAAAAAAAAAAAAAAAAAAAAAAAAAAAAAAAAATTGAGGAGTCCTCATCGTAAAAGCAATAACTTTCATAGACCTTCGAGGATTTTCAAAAAAATTCCAAGGACTTCGTCGAACTCAAACAAATTTAGGGGCTTTGAAAAATGTATTGAAATGGAAGTTTTCTCTCTTTGTACCTTGATTCTCTGTTTCCTACCTATGATTAGTATTTATGGCATACATAGAAAACTTCGGAAGTCTCTATAAATTTTAGGATATTCAAGGACTCAAGCATCTAACACAACTTTTTAATACAGCTTAAGACTTTTTCAGGAGTCATACAACATACAAGTTCTATTATTTAATTATTAGGAGGATTTTACTGGCAGTTTAATGTAATGCGTTTGAACATTTCATAAAGAGATATTCATAAAACTGCATAAGTATGAAACTAAATACCTCATCAAAGAAATTTTGGTTGCATTCGCACACCTAAATCTAAAATCTGCATCAAGGAAATTTTTCTTGCATTCGAAATTCGAATGCTTATAATTCTTTCTTTGGCACGACAGCTCTAGCAAAATTTTACGTAAGCGCAAAGAGAAAGAATACGATTTTTCAATCGACGAATAAATGACTGATAATTTGCCGAAATGTTGGACTGATAATAAATTTTTGAGCGCTTGATTCGACGGCTTATCATTTGAATAATGGTGCGTCTACAATAACGTGCGTTTTCACAATTTAATTTTTGCATGCATTAGCAAATAAGCCACCCGATCATTGCCCCCCGCGTTTTGTAACTTAATGTTAAGTCCCGTCTGATTTGCTGCAGTGTCACAAGAGAGGCTTCGAGACTACTCCTAGAGGGTGATCCAAGAGTCTGAAACCCATTCCTCCACTTGGTAACTTGAAGTTTTGATGGGGGATGTGCTGTTGTCAATCTGATTTTTTTCATTTAGATTCAAGCGGAGATTTTTTTTCTCTCTAGTCCCTGTTCATGAAGGTTCATTAAAACAACGTTCAGGGTTTTTACTTTTTTTCAACTTTCAAATTCCCTGTGTTTTCCTCGAATTTTCCTGATCGATTGCAAAAAATAACTTTTTACGACTCACTTGTCACAGAGGTGTAACACGACCACTCTTCCGAGGTTTTGATAGCTATCGAATTAAAAAGGCTCCCTCCGCCTTTTAATCTTTATAGCTCCAATTTTACTTCTACACGATTCAATTCTAAAGAAAATATAGTGCATATTAATTTAGAAAAAGATAAACTTCAGACTTGAAAAAGCGAAAATTCTAGATCCAACGTTAACTTCCTTGAGTTTTCCCTGTAGAGGAGACCCCGTAACGTTAAAAATGTAGCGGAGAGGGGTGTTCAGAGTTTTGAATCACCCTGTGTACCACTCTTGAATGATAAAACTTTATCGCAAAACGTGCGCTACGACCGTCGTCTTAATGTGAGGTAGTCACAATAATTTTATTATCATCAGGCTTCACTC